ATCTCACGACTCCGCCCTCTCGACGCCTCCGTATAAGTAGATTCTTATCAGTAGATCATTAGCGACCGAAATCCCTCCCCTTCCAACCACAGCTGTGTTTTAGACCCAGACTCCGTTCCCAGGCTCCGTTCCGCGGGGGGCGGCTCGTTTGATCTCTCTCCCGTGTGGTCAAACAGGTGGCACGTGCTGTCTAGCGGTGGGCTGTGGCCGGGGATCTCACGACTCCGCCCTCTCGACGCCTCCGTATAAGTAGATTCTTATCAGTAGATCATTAGCGACCGAAATCCCTCCCCTTCCAACCACAGCTGTGTTTTAGACCCAGACGGGGCGGCTCCGTTCCGCGGGGGGCGGCTCGTTTGATCTCTCTCCCGTGTGGTCAGACAGGTGGCACGTGCTGTCTAGCGGTGGGCTGTAGCAGTTCTTCAAACGCCATGCCGACAGCAAACTGATAACGCAAAAGAACTTCATCTCAAAAACAAATGTCTAACCGAGTTCCTTGATGAAACCACATGTGTTTTCTCGATGTGTGACCCTTCAGGACAGCGCTACCATTTTCAGTAGTATATGAACAAAAGCATAAAAACGCATAAACAACTCTATTGATTTTTGCTTTACTTCACTAGCATCAGCTAAGTATCAACTGAAAATATTCTGAAAAAATTGGTGTGCCTGCAACGCTTCAACGCAAAGATAAAACGCATCAAAAGTGCCGGGTTCAAGCGCCCCCTGTCGGGAAAAAAACACCCAAATAGCAAAATCGAAGATAGCCATCAAAACAATAATGCAATTTCCTTTTGATAGCTATCTGTGAATTGTTTTTATCTTATTCACACGATTTATTATCATTTTTCAATTATTGATCGTTTTTGACTAGAAAGTCAGAAATCAGTACGGCAGTAAAAGATCAATATCTAAAAAAATTGTCGACCGATTTTTCTAAAACTTGCACAAAGTATACTTCAATCAATTTGTGACAGGTACTGAAAATTTGTCGCGCCTGCGGCGCGCCATTTCAAAGATATAGCGTTGCGAAAAAAGTGGGGGCGTTTAACGCCCCCCCCCAGCAACTCGCGGGTTAAATGTACTTAAAGTTTTTCTTAAATTTTAAGTAGGGGAGAGTGGGGAAAGATGCCCAGGGTTTGACTATGTCATATATTATTCGAAAATGACGATGGGAAAGCCAAAACTCGGAGTTTCAACGGAAGCCGACATCATTTTTCTCCAAAAATATCACACTTTCGTGCCTGAAATATGATAACTTTTTTTGCTATCAAGCGTTTTCCTGAAGAAGTGAAAGGGGGCATCTTACCCCACAGGGTGGAAAAGACGCCCCCTGGCGCTGGGTAAGATGCCCCCTGCACTAAAAGTGACATAAATAGGCACGTGAATCGCCTGAACGAATCAGTAGTCCCTTCGAGCCTGCAGCAGACACCAAACGTCATCGTAAGGGCCCTCAAAAGTAGTCGTAAGGGGCTTCAGAGGTCATCGTTAGGGCCATCATAGTCCAGCGTGGCCAAACAAGCCTCTGTGGTGGCGTTCGGAGACCACTGTGGGGCCCTTATAGGTCTTCATGATGCTTGAGGGCCCTCGAGCCCATCGTGGAGACCTCAGATGCCAGCGCGGCCCGTGGAGCCAACGTGGGAGCCCTCAAAGGATGTCGTGAGGGGCCATAGAACCATAATGGGGCCCACAGAGGCCGTCGTGAGGGCTCTCAGAGTCAGATGCCGCCCAAAAAGTCGCTGTGTGGGCCGAGAGACCGGCATGGGGAGCACCCGACCGTACCGGACTCTCAATAGTCCCAGATCGGCTTTTGTCTCTCATCACAAGTAGGGGAGAGTGGGGCAAAGCGGCCACCCGGGGCAAAGCGGCCATCCATCGTTTTAGCCCTCCACAGCTGGCGTCAGTTCCAATTTATGATTTCCAATTATACTTCTCTTTGCGGTCGTTCGAATGAGCCAGACCGGGGTTTCAGGCCCATCGCCATTGTTTTGTGAAACACGGAAAAGCATTTCTTGCCAGGTTGCCAATTATGTTTACAATTTTTAAATGTTATTTTATTCCATAACCGTTTGGAATTTTTATAAGCGTTTTTGTCCATGCATTGCGTGGTTATCGTACATGCCTTCTACCAATTTTGATGCTTTTTACCCCACTAATAGCTGAGCTGGAATATTTTTGTCTCGGACGGTATGCGCGGGGCAAAGCGGCCGGGGCAAAGTGGCCAGCCCCCAATTGGCCATAAGTTGTTTCCATCTGGATAAAAACATTATTTATATTCAAATGTGTCGTCATGCATTCATCTTGGCCACTTTTCGGTTACATGAGTTACCAAATTATGCAATTAAATGTTTTTCCAAGAAAATTCTTTCTTTGTTTAGCAATAGGTGGGAAGATAACAAAGTAAACATCCATCTTCCCTTAAACCTTGCCACCATCAAATACCCTATAGTCGTGCATGAGGCAACTATTCTGTTTCTCATATCGGGACTTGAGAAGTCGCCAGTGACCGCTTTGCCTCAGGGATGGGGCAAAGTGGCCAATATGCTATAGGTTTAAAGTTTTGTCAATACATATATCCCATATGTGAACGCCTTTGGAAATGAAACGCAGTTGGAATAAAAGACAATTTAATAGGGATCACATTGGTATAGAAAGAATCTTTCCAAGTTTAAAAATCAAGCGTCGGCATCGTTAGAAACGTTAGGGTGGCCGCTTTGCCCCACTCTCCCCTATGTAATACATGATTTGACGGGCTGCTTGAAGGACAGCCTACGGATTTAGGGGGGCGTCTTTCCCCATCAGGACAGGGGGCATCTTACCCCAAGGTACCGAAGTAACATTAAATCAGCACAATTTGTTAGCCATAAAACTACACCCTGAAACAAACTGTTTGGGACACAGTACACGCATGTTAATGTATCACGACTATAGCAAGGGACGCAAAAAATGATCTACCTACCTTTTTTGATATTTACAATGTTTTGACGCCAAAATATTTTTTGAAAGCAGCAAATAAAAAACATGCAATCACCAGCCAGCCGTTGCCCAACTGAGCTTTGCAAATTTTTGTGCAGTTAACAAGGCAGGCTTCTGCTTTACGCCAAGACCATTAATTTCCAGGTTCGATTCTTTGTTTCCCCGCTAGAGGGGGTGGGGCGTCTTTCCCACCCTGGGCATCTTACCCCACTCTCCCCTAAACTTTAATTAATTAATTAAGTTCAAGTTAACCAAATTGCATCATAACGCATATCATTCGATTCGGCTGATCACCAGGAACACAATGATACCATTTTTAAGCTCTAGCGTCATTATGTGCCAAGTTATTGGCAGAAACGTCATTTGACCTCAGTTGACCTCATATGACCTCACCCATGGATAAGTAGGCACCAAACAAAGAAGCACCAAGTGACCTGCCGCTAAGTACTGTGGTTTCAAAGCACAAAAGTGATAGAACGAAGCGGATATCTCCAGTATTTTCCGAATTTAGTATTTTCCCATAGGCTTAACATTACGACGTAATGACCTCTAACTGACCTCAGGTCAGTGACCTCAAAAAACACGAACTATATGTTATACAACTCGGTGAACTTAGCACACCCTGAAAGTTTGAAGGAAATCAGTCCAAAACTGTGAGTTGGACAGGTGAAAAAAGAAAATTCAAATTTGACCATGACCTTGTACCGGTTTTTCTGACCTGGTGACCTGACCCAAGGTCACCCGGACTTAAAATTTTCAGGCCAGATGTAAAAAGGTTGCCCCATAGGCTGTGCCAAATTTGGCGGCGCTGCGCGCCGCCGTTTTTACGCTATCTTCGAAAAACCTTAGGGGGGGTCGCATCGACCCCCCTACCAGGGCGAGGGTTAATCCGAGCTGTGATTAAGTACCCTTCCGTCCGTCTGCCATAAAGTCCGAAAATATTCGTGCAATAATCTACTTACACCTGTTATCGACGATTTTGAGGTTAGCTCACCCTGCTCCTCACCCATGCCGAGCACGCTGCCACCTGAGCGGAGACCATCACAAATCCCCTAGACATATCTCAAAACTTTCCTTCCCCATCCTGCTCTTTGGTTTCGGTCTGACTCTTTGTTTGCGCGCAGTTTGACATTCAAGTTTAGTTTCTGCACTGGCCAACAGATCTCTGTGTCACTGATGTCCGGGCTGGGTCAGGGCGGCGAGGGAGAGCGGTGACGGTCAGGGGGCAGTCTGGTCGGGGCATTGAGAGCGAGGGCTGTTGCTTGTTGCCATCGTAGCTAAGCGGGATCAGAGAGCGCGACGTGAACATGGCGAGGAGGACAGTGTGAACGGGAGAGGGTTGACCGTTTCTCCGAGCGCAGCTGGAGTTCCAGCATATTGTTCGAGGGCGTAATTGTCGGTAAGGGTCGTGCTATTTAAACTGATTTAATTTCAATTAATGATCAATGTTTCGCTCGTTTAGGATCAGTTTGCTCCACCGCATATAAGTTTGAGCCAGACCGATTTAAACTATGTAATCACAAAACATTTAGAAGCGATATTTTACCGAGGTGTCTGTCTTCGGTGCCATGTGCTAGCCGCATCTTGTGTTGTTTCGCAGCAACGGCGCGCGTTGGCGTTGGTGTATGTCAATAAAGCCGGTAGCGGAACGCGCCCTTTTTGGTGGAGCACCGGGAAGCCGACTACAGTCACCTTTAAACTAACCTAACTCTAGTAATTACATATGGCACCAGTACGGACAGTGCGCCGATCGATAGGGTCACCCAGCCTCTCTGCGAGTGCAAGGACCCATTCGCGTAACTTTAACCTGCATACAGATATGCAGGATAACGTAAGACCCTATTTTGAGGCTTGCTTGCCATGCTGGTTGAAATTGATAATCGCTTGCCAGTTTGGTGCGTACGAATAGCCTAACGTTACCTGAATTACTGAGACCATTCCCTATCCAATTTCAATAAGTTCATGCTCGACAGTCGACACGTTTATCACACATTCGCTCGGTTAGCTAGCAAAATAACACATAAAAACGTTTTCCGTTTATTAAGCAAGCCACTTGCGGACAGCCAAAACACAGACTGAACCTCGCGGTTATCTCCAGAACCATCCAACATACCTACAATACTAGTCCAATTTACGACATTCTATTCAAATCAATGCACCGACCAGCAGCAGGGCACAGCAGCTTCAAAATATGGCGAGGAACGCATTGCGGGAACTCTAAAATCGTCACAAATACATTGGTTGTTAGACGTTGTGCAGCTTCACATTAAAACAAGACACTCTTTTCAACAACAAATAATACAGTTGGGAACAGACGGTGAGCGGGGACCGAAAAAACGCCATTTTCCAACGAGTTACATCCATCGAAGAAACGCTGTTAACACCCGTTTGTCATCAATGACATTTCAATGTAAAAACAATCTTAATAAATCAGAAAAGGACGAAAGCCGATAGGCACATAAAAGCTCGAACCGTATCAAAAATTGGCAAAAATATGCAACTCTGATGTCTGCAAATTTAAAATACTTTCAGTAGTTACAAACCTACCGGTAACGGAAAAAAGGCCAAAAATAAAAATAAATAAAGCATTAGACATGCTCCCCCTAAACCTATAGCAGAGACTACTATAACCGTAAACTATCACTAAAAATAGGCTCAGCTAATGGCATGCTAAACCTCACTCTTGTCGCCATATTACCACAAACATGAGATGCGTGGGGCAATAACGCTTGCCAACATGTGCTGGTGGTCTCCATGTGCCATGGCATACAAAGTTGATAGTGCAAATAACACTTAATGCTTAAAAACATAATTAGAGGCAACATCTAGCAGCTTTATCTCTTCCGCGCCATACACAGCATGCTCATGCAAACTAGTGAGTGGGAAGACGTGAAACTCCAAAGTGGCGAGATCTCCATATTCCAACGCATACAAACCTATAAGTCGCCACGGTGTAAAACTATTGGCAGCGTCAGCATGGATCGACCGAATGTGTCACACTTTATACCGAAAACTGTACAGTCATCACACACCACAAACATATGCACTTTACAAGCACATTCTCACCATATGTACTCACATTTCCTCACAAATTCACCGATAATCCGCGCGACAGCCTGCTGAGCTTCCACGTCCATCCGTTTCGCCCTCGACTCCAGCGTTGCCACCTCCAAAATCCGCGCACAGCACACTCTCTTACTCGCTCACAGTCCTCTCACTCGCTCACAGTTTTCTCACTCTCTCACGCCGCATCGCCACTGGTTTTCCGCCACAGTCTGACGCCGGCAGAGACGGCAGAGCGGCCACGCGCACTTTGTACCTACCGGGCGTCGGCGGCTGGTGCTTGCTCCTCACCTCTCCCCTCCTCCCTCCCTCTCTCCACTCTTCCTCATCTCCCCGTCTCTCCTCTTCACTTCCACTTCATCCTCCATATCCGCTGCTTACTTGTCTTGACGCCTGCCGTTCTTCTGTACGAGGCTCTCAGCCTTGGCATTGAACTGGAACACGTCTGTGAAGAAGGTTCTCGAACTGGCCGAGCGCGAGGCGGCGCTGTGCGTGCTAGAAGGACGTCGTTTGCCGCAGAGCAGCTGTCGGTAGGCCTTGCGGTAGTTACGGTTTGAGAAGGCGTAGATGAAGGGGTTGATGACAGATGACATCCAGGCCAGCACTGAGGCGATGACGTGTAGAGTCGGGTAGCGAACCTGGCGGAGAAGGGAAGAGTCAGTGAAGGAAAGTCAGTGGAGGGGAGAGTCAGTGGAGGAGGAGAGTGAGTGGAAAAGGGGAGAGTCAGTGGAGGGGAGAGTCAGTGGAGGAGTGAAGAGTCAGTGGAGGGGGAGAGACAGTCGATGACCGGGGAGTTACAGAGGGCGCTGCTAGCAAACAATAGACAGGGGGCGCTCGGATCACCACAGGAGACATGATGGAGAATGGAGATGCTGATGTAGACTAGCAAGTATTGAGAAGGACGGGGGTCGGGGTTCACGGCATGCTGTGCTTCTATTCTAGCTTTCAAACCAGCTCTTATTAAATCAAAGAAGAAATCAGCATTCGATGACAACAATGGCGTTTCATGCGAACATAACATCTATTGGCAATATAATGATGTAATGGATGACAAATAATAAGATTAGGGTTTGACCTACCCTTTTTCTTCTTTGACTGGGCCAAACAGGAGGACAGGAGTAGGACTTACATCATCGTCGTCAAACACGTTGACCAGCATCAGCGGGAAGAAGCAGGCCAGGAAGGCGAAGAAGATGGTGGCCATCATCTTGGTGATGCGCAGGTCCTCCTTCCTGGCCGCGGCATCTTTCTGCTGTCCATGCTGTACGGTGATGTTGGCCGAACCTCTGGTTCCGTGCATACTGCGGCAGAAAAACAAAGCTTTAGTTCACGCAATCGTCTATAGGTGTCGCAGCAAACACTCGGCCCAGTCGTTTCTCCCAACAATGTCATCTGCCAATTCCGGTCAATTCTCGACAGACGAGCGCTGTGGCGTCGTCCGTCACTTGGCGCCGTCTCTGTCTCGTCAAGAAACAAACCGATCACCCCGAGACGACCAGATCGACGCGACACGGCTATCGACGTGTTTGTTTTGCGCGGGCATCGGCCCAAATCGGGGTGACGACACTTCATGTCCCGGCGCACAGGGGCGCGACGCGACGGCCGGTCTCTGTTTACGCAGTTATACCCGTGTCGACACAAACCAGCCGACTCTCTGGAGCCGCCCTGGACTGTCGCACGAGAACGGGGGCTGTACGGCCGAGCGATGGCTGCCGACCGACCAACGGCGGCAAACACAGAGGTGTAGTTTTACTGGCACAAGGTCGGTATCCACCTCGAAATGAACCGGTATTGGCGGCAGCCTTTGAAAAGATTGTGCGTTGAAAGCTTTGGAGTCCGGTACATGTCTTGATGAGGAGATTTCTATATGCTTCAGATAAGCAACTGATGTATTTATGAAATCAGAGTCAACCACAGAAGCTGCGAAGATGTCCTTGTTTTGAAACAGCCGTTTCTCATACGTACATAAGGTTTCAGTAAGCACGCAATTAGGCTGTCATAGGATCACCAAGTATGTTCAACTAATCATGATAAGTCGTGCAATACCCACAGCGCAGCAAAAATTTTCGGGAAGTGCGGAACCTCACGATAACGCTTCATAAACAAGAAAAAAAAAGCAGCGATCAGCAACAAGCCAAACCGAGCAAATCAGATATCATCACAGCCATTTTTAAATAAATATAATTATATAAGATATCAGCTGAGATCTTCACATCGCAATACCTACGCTATCGGTATTTCGAATACATCTACGCATACCGACGGTTTTCAGAAACCTAAAACCACCATCTCAGCTTCCCTTCTCCCCTACAGCGCCGTCATCCGACGTTGGTCCGACGTTGCCAATGCCAACGTCGTCGGAACATAAACCCATCGCCCCTGTTTGACCAGCACACGTCTAGTTTCGCTCAGAAAAGGGTAAGCACGCCTGGCAGGGAAAATAATCGCCTCCCGGATGGTCGGGCGAGCGCCCGCTGGGCCGGTGGCGACCCGATAGTCTTCCCATGGGCGCCACATCTGGTAGAGATCAGAAGAGGGGAATCGGATTACCACGCCGGTACTCTTTCCTACCCTGTTCGTTATTGAGGGCTCCTTCCGCTTTCTTGGCTCTCCCTCTCTCTCTCTCTCTCTCTCTCTCTCTCTCTCTCTCTCTCTCTCTCTCTCTCTCTCTCTCTCTCTCTCTCTCTCTCTCTCTCTCTCTCTCTCTCTCTCTCTCTCACTCACTCTCTCTCTTCCTCTTCCTCCATCCTCCTTACTCTCCTCTTTTCCTCTGGCTCCCTCTACGCCATTCCCTCTTATCTCTCCATCTTTCCTTCTCCCCGTTCTAGTTACTGTTCTATAGTTCGCTTCTTCCATTCTTCTACTCCTCCCCTCCCCTCCTCTCCTCCCTCCCTCTCTCTCCCTTCTTTTCTCCCTCTCCCTCTCCCCTCCCTCCAACCCTTCCTCCCTCCCTCCCTCCTCTCCCCCTCCCTCCCAGCTCTCACCTGTGTCCTCGGATAGCACGCCGGCTGCGTCGGACCTTGATGAAGATGAGAGTGTAGCAAGTGATGATGATGACACACGGGATGAGAATACCGATGGCGAACAACATCTTCTTGGGCGACTTGCCGTCCTTCTTGAGAATGGTACAGGAGAAGGTGCGCTCGTTGAGTCCCAGCCTGCCCCAGACCTCCAGCAGCGGAGGCATCATCATGGCGAAGCTGCACGGCGAAGGGACGGAACCGACGTCAGACAGTGAGGATGTGAGCGCGGCTGTTCCATGGATGAGATAATGTTATCTCATCCATGGCTATTTTTCCCTTTCTGTAACTCGGTGGACACGATACGCCTATGAGCCAAGTCCTAGTAAAAATGTACCGGTTTATTTCTCCTTCTTTCTTTTTTTGCCGTAACAACGATTGTTTATTGAACATAAATCTGCCACCTAAACGTGCTGGGGAAGCATGTGCAGATGTCTCCCCTTCATGTTAAAATGAAATTGAAGGTTTCATAACAAAGCAATTCAGTTTTTTTTCTATCGTTATTACCTGCATTTGAAAATGAAACCTGACCTTTGACAGATGACTACACCAATGCAATGCTATTGCGTACGCACGCAATCCATATTTATGGAATCGGACTCGTAAACATTCCTTTTAGACCTTCCCATTTGCAAGTGACAGCACAGGTATGCAAAGTCGGTGAACGTGAGCGAGTGTATCTAAGACGAATATTCCATGACCAGCTATTACCATATTACATAACGGGTCACCATGAGCATTATTTTGCTCTTTGGTTATCGCATGTGTCGTGATATGTCCGATAATATTGCTCGGTGGATCCTGTGTTACCTAAGATTTAACCCTCGCATGTGTAGGGGGGGGGGTCGGATGGACCCCCCCCCCATGGTTTTTCGCGAATAACTCGCGTAAAAAGCTGCTGATCGCGACGAAACTTTCAGTACCCTCACATTGATCAATTTTACACCTACCCTGAAAATTTCATGACCCTGACCCAAATGACCTTTGACCTGTGACCTCTTTTCCGAGACCATGTTTGGCCGGAATCGCGATTCTGCGTATGTCGGCTCGCATTAGCCGCGCGTTTGCAAGCTTTTCGTAGTTTCAAACGTTCAAACATGTGATTTGATGTTGCTTCCATGCATTAGGGTGGGTGTCAAGGTCACCTGAAGGTCAGGTCAGGTCATTGACCTTTGGTGACCTCGGTTGACCTCGGTTCACTTTTTCGAGCTGTACATGTTTCTAGGCTAGTTTTTGGAGCTGAATTCGAATTTAGCAACCATTTGAACATTTACGAAGTAGTTTTAGTGCCTTCGTAACATGTTACGAAGCTGTCAGAGGCGGTTGACACGTACTACGAATACCCGTCACGACGCCTACTGGTTGACCTGACCTGACCCGACCTGGTCTAAATGCTTAAAGACATCAGCTGTGATCAAAACTAACACGATATTCGTGATCAGCACCCCGAAAAAACCCCTTAGCAGCCACACTTTACGACTTTCTAACAGGTCCCGATTTTCCCGACTTTGGGTCATTGACCTGACCTGGAAGGTCAACCAATGACCTAGGACCTTAAAATTGGGTATCATCGGCTTCCTCTCGTCACGGGCAACACGCTCGTTTTTTCCGCGAAGCTCTAGCTCGATCAGGGGCCAAACGGCAAGGGGGGGGGGTCCAACCGACCCCCCCCCCTACACATTAGAAGCTGGCAAACGCCGCACACATGCGAGGGTTAAGTTACTGTGTTGACGACAGGTCCACCTATACGGCCATGGAATGCCATCCTGACATTATGTCACGGCATTGTGTAATGCTTTTCGAGGGCGGAATATCCCTTTTAAAGAAAAGACAATGGGCTTTCTGAGCAGAAAAATGTTTAGGAATAACTGAAATGCAAGCCAAGTCGCATATTTGCATTTTCTGATATACCACAATCAATATAATGCCTGCGTGGTCTTCATCGATGCCATCACGCTATATTGGACATCAGAATGCATCATTTCAAGTTTATGCGTAAAAAGATCATGAACCCATTCCTCCTCTTTCGTAATACCCCACCCCTGTAACGCTGATACGCCCTGTGTGGTCCAGATCAAACGCAGCTCCTTATCAGGTCTGATAACGCGTTACTAAAGTTAAGTTTCACAGAAACGATGTAACCTAATCGGCAGATCACCAGTAAACGATTATACAACTCTAGATCGAAGTGCTATGAAAAACTATGTTTTTGTGAAAGCTTTTCCAAACAACGATGTTTCTAGTTTGACTTCAAATCAGCCTGTCATCTATTTTTTTTTTTTTCATTTCAGTAGCGGTACTTTCGTGAAGTCTGTTAAATAAGCAAAGGCTTTTTATCCGTTTGCCAATGGTTCCTGCAGACAATGATTTAGACGGATCGGATAGACCGTGCAATGAAGACTGCACGATTTTAGGTGATTTGTGACCATGTCGTGATTGCCAACAGCTTCAAAACAAGTAAATTTGCTAGTTTGCGTGTAAAAGCTTGTAAGCCTTGTAAGCTAAACGTGCTAATGATTCCACTTGGATCTTGTAAACGTGTTATCTTTGTGTGCACTGCTCATGCAGCCCAAGAAGCAAACATATCTGATCTCTGATTGCAATGTTAGTTTCCGGTCATGATTTTGAACATGTGGGCCTCTCTCAAGCAGGTCTCCTTTCCATAAACACAAACATCCGTTTACTTCATGACTCCATCTCCAGAAATAAACCTGTCCCAAAAAGAGTGCAAAATTCCGTGTGTATTTTTCCTACGTGCCGATGCCGACAAAGTGCCGTATCGGGCGCTCGTTACCACTAATTAGTCACCAGTCCGCGACACGCACAGTGGCACGCACGTCCAGAATGCCACAGAGGGCAACACTTCCGCATGGCACCGCGTTCCTTCCGCGAATAGTTACCGCTACAGACCGTTGTGCGGACCCGTATGGTCACATGGTGCCTGTATGCGGGTCTGACCCGGATTTTCTGTGTTTAACTGGCTCATGGTAACCCACCGAAGGACAGGGCGATCTGTAAGTCACACTGCGGCGGTATGGCAGTGTCCGGGTGGTTTTTGGATCTGTAGTCCGAATCTCTGTGTGCGTGAGCCAAGATGGGTGGGGCGTGACGGAGCTTCAGATCGAGTGAAACGGTCAAACGTTTACCTCACTTGCCGGGACTGCTTATGCTACAAGTCTGAGTTATCGCAAACATGGTGAACCCACTAAGAGCTGAGATCCTGGTGGGTGTTTACCTCCAGATCTGGGTCGTTCTCGCTTTGGCAGTGTGGCATGATCCAGCGCATTGGTAATATTTGGCGAGTCGCCGATATCCATAAACGATATCTGACAAATTTTGCTAAAAAAGGAATGCTGTTATCATGGTATTTTGATGCGTCGTTATAAGTGCATCAGTGAACGTTAGCTATGTCATATGCATACCTACAGATGTTTGTAATGCATCGATGGTTGATATTCTAACAAACAGCACCGTCCTATCAGAGAAGGACATGTGCTGCACATTTCAGAACGAAAATCAGACACGATCTTGGAACAGCTTTAGAACATTACAGTATATTTACTTTGTTACTTACTGAACAAATTCACTTCCCATCTTTTTTTGCGGTTGGATATTTTACAATGTTTGTCATAAAATGACGGCTTTAAAATGCTCACATACATTAGACACCATCTTTCTACTCACAAGCCATGCAAGGCACGCCAGGTCAGCCAAAATATATTCAAATCTTACACTGAACATATGTAGCGTTACATATTCTAAATTTTCCTTAAATAATGACACATGCATCCATCTTATTATGAGCGTCCCTTTTCCTGTAAGTTCTTGCTAGGAAATGTTGCACTTACCTGATAGGTACTTGTTTACCTCGCAAACGTCTCGAATGCATTACGTACAATGCATAATGTGTAAATATGAATATCGTATACCATCTCTCACACTCTTCCTGTGACGCGCGACGTCTGAAGATCTTACCTGAAGATCCACACGGCCAGGACCATGGCAACGATGCAGGGGAAGCGGTAGATCTTGTTGTACAGCTGGTTATGGCCGATGAGGATGTATCTGTGAAAAGACGAGCACTGACGTCAAAAGGAGCTCAAGAAGAGAGAGAGAGAGAGAGAGAGAGAGAGAGAGAGAGAGAGAGAGAGAGAGAGAGAGAGAGAGAGAGAGAGAGAGAGAGAGAGAGAGAGAGAGAGAGAGAGAGAGAGAGAGAGAGAGAGAGAGAGAGAGAGAGAGAGAGAGAGAGAGAGAGCGAGAGAGAGAGAGGGGAATGGTTTGACAGCGCCTGTCGGGACACAGTTATGCCTGCACCGCTGCACATTGCACACTAATGAAGACAAACGATTCCAATAAATATGACGTCATCAGCTAAGCTGACGTCATCACCAGAAGGCTGACAGCCCAGTATCAGTGCTCAGCAAATAAGGAGCCATGAATCGAATTACGTGTGGGCAGAGACGGCTAACACCTTGGCAATGCATAAGATGGGATGGGCAAGGTCACCAATGTCTCGCCATTGTGATGCTGATACAACTATCAGCCTTGCTGATGCTGAGTTAACAAGAATGCTGCAGTGAGCATGATGGACCGCTCACTAAAATGCATGGAATAGCTCATTTTCTCTGGAGATGCCCGAAATTCGCAAAGTGCAGGCCAGCACGGCTGTACCAAGCACAGCATTGACCTTGTCTAGCCTCTATCACGGTGTTAAAACGGCGCTCAGTGCGCACTCTGGGCACATCGGCATGCCACAGCACAGGCGTTTAACACGGTGGTCCAGCGGACTGACGCCGAAAGAGGCTTATCGGCGGAAAGTGTACACAGGCACGCCATGGGCGACGCTCCTCAAAACGGCTGGTTGTCATTCATCGAGCTGGACAAAGGGTTTGTCTGGGCACGGATAGGCAGCTGAATGATCAATTATCTGACCTCAGCATTGCTCCACCCTTGGGACAACACCTTTTTCATGGCAACACATGTCACACTCTTTGCGACAGTGGTTCAATTACATGCAATTGGATTGGTGGCAGATTTATAAGAAAATGGTCTTGCACGATGCACAATGCAAAAACCCTGCTAAGAACTACATCCTTCCCACTTATGCTGGTACATAGTTTCTCAAGTCTCGCACTCACGCGCAACATGCAACAGCTCTGTGTCATTGTAAATGAAGCTAACTTCCAGCAAAAATGATTCAAAACAAACTCCATACAAAAACATCCCCCGACGATATTTGCACCGAAGTGACTTATCATGGCCAAATTTAGACCTCTCTATCGTGGATCTACCGACGTGGCGACCACTCAAAACTCAGAAGAGGTTCTTACTTCTTACCTTGGACGCCATGACTGAATTGTGTAGCAAGTTACAAACCGTAATTTGGAGGTGCCACCTAGACATCCTGCCAGCCACTATTCTAATCACCTGATCGATCATGTTCGTAGATAACCGATGAGGCGAAGCGAATAGCCGACTAATTGAGCCGGAACAATCTGTCAAAGAAACTCCCCGTTAACGACCATCATCGCCGTCGTCAGGATGGTGATGCCGCAGAATATGACGGTGATGATGAGGCATGACACAAGGAGAGAGGCGGCATCACGACCGAGACTGTCACAGACGACAAAGCCGCCTGGGAGCAGGTCTGTGTCATCGGCCCTTCACGAGCGCAACTGTCAGTAGTGCATTCAGGGGGGTTGATTGCAATTCTGCTCTCCAACTGTCCACTGCAATACGTTCTAAAGTGACTGGGCGCCTGGAGGTCACGAAGATCTCTCGATGAGCACTTCTTGACTTTCAATTAGTTCATTCGGAATTGCAAGTCAGGGAGCCCTGGAGGGCATGCCCACTGAGCTGAGGGAGGTGGCCGGGAGACGTTTGCCCTTCCAGAGTTGTTGCGTAACGATATATTTTGCCGATTTGTTACATAAATGATGCATCTCTTGTCTGCTGTCTTCTTTATCTGATTTCTTGTTTGTATTACATAACTGATCCGCCCATCTCCTATGCCTTCCATGAAATTTATCAGGAACAGATCTATACAAGGAAGTACCGATAAAAAGGAAGGTTTTGTTCAATACCCCGAACGCCTTGGTGATGTGGACAAGGAGGGCCGGGTCCAAAATATATCTTAGAGTCAAGAAACAAACATAAACGCCTAAAACATCTCGATCAAAGAGTAACGCACAAACCCCTTGCATCACCTCGACAAGAGACGTCACTTGTTTGTTATTCTCGCCCGGTTGCTATGGTGTTTGCGGTGACCCGGACACCCGCAGAACAGGTCATGTTACCCCAACAGCAGGTGTTTCCATATCGTATTACAAAACTGTGTTCTGCTGTGAGAAAAACAAGGAACCTTCAGCAGTGGTCAGTGGTCACTGAATAAAGACAGGTAACGGTTACCCAAAGAAGACCTGAATACAGCAATGATAACCAAAAACGCATAATTATCGTAAAAGAGGGCTCAAGAAGCATGAACCAACTCATATACGATAAAAATATATATATTGACAGCATAGATACCCAATTCAAGGAATAAAAAGCTTATATTTTCTACCTTTACACTTTAGAATTAAAACGATACCTACACGAGCAGAAGCAAATTACATACGCTGCAAGATCAAACACGTGACCAAGAAATAAGACAATAACGCCTTAACCCGGTGCGGATGGTAGTAAAAACGCATTATAGTTGCATCATTTCCATATTCGGATCCAGTCGGCGATACAAAAACCGGACACCTATCTCTGCTATCTATATCAGATCAGATCGCGTTAATAGCTGGCACCCGCTGGCTTCCATCAGAATCACACCACCTCATACATATTCTGCGCCACGCTCGCCACCTAATTTACGTCCGAAGTCGACTCTAAACCCGGCCAAAGAAGCATCCTCCGGCCTCCCATCCAAACTCAAGCACTTCGCAGTCGACAAACCGGAATACCTAATCCCCGGGACAGACGAATTGTCGGAGGAAATCGCCCGCCACTTTCCCACGCTGGCCTGGCCCCAAGCGCGGACGGAAGGAGCGACAAACGCAGAGAGAAGGAGCACATGGCGGAATGGGGAGAGAGCCTCTGTCCGGCCTCCCTCCCTGCCCGGCCCGTACTGTATTTATTTGCCTTCGTTTGGGAACGATTATGGCCGTCCGGTCGTCTCGGAGCAGCTACAAACGACGGACCGCGTCGCCGCGGGGCACCCGTAAATCACGTAACAGACGATGGACGACAGTGGTCGGGACCAGGGCCGCCGGGGCGTTATTTTACGGAGTAGGTGTTCTCTGCCCGCCACCTAGCCTACATCCCTCGCCGGATGTTCTCATTCAGAGCTGGAAACTTGATACAATGAATGGTGTTGGTGACCAAAGCCAACAAGGGGGCTGGGACCGTCGTGGCCATTTTTTTTCTTCTAAAAGTAGGCGGAGGCGGTGTCGGTAAAGTTGTAGATTTGGGGGCCGCTCAACCGTCTATGTGTGGTGGATGGGGCGTGGGAACAGTCACAATGGTCAGTATGTCAGTTACAGCTGTCAGGAGACTGTCGCCGCCTTGCGGGCTGTCAGAAGACTGTCATCAATGTCACGATTTCGCGTGTGGTTTAGTCCTCGCTGAATCTTATCCGCTGCCCGAGACAAAATATCGGTGGGTGTCACAATCAGTAGTCATGGTGTCCAATGTTTGTTGGACGTCACCATAAACACAAAATCAGAAGTCATCCGTTATAATTTTCTACCATTCGATACGATCAGCTGGGCGATCTATCTCACTCTACCGCCCTCAATGCGGAGCTGATTATAAGATGTCTATCTGAAAATGTCTACCATTATTCTCTCTTAATGATTCGCAAATGAGACCACCTCCCATCTATGGAGCAGGTGGCGATCTGCTCTGCACAGACTCAACTCGGCAAACAAGCCGATCCGCAAACTCAACTACATAACCCACGGGCTCAACGAACATTTAATTACATAATCTGAGCTTGAGCCAACTTCATAACTCCCAATATACGGCACAAGTTCTTAATTTCACACACAATCGTCTATAACGCCGGCACGAGTCGTCCCAATTTTCCTGACAGAAAATCAATGGGCCGATTAGAATGTGGTTTTCATTGTGCGACCATACGCCGACCGCCACCCCCTCCGGCGCAACCTGCGTCAGCGGCGCGCCGCACGTGCCCCAGCAAATTGGGGGGGGGGGCAAAGGGGGGGGGGGATCGCGTGGATCGCCATCACTAGGCAAGGGAAATCGCGATCTCACTCTTTGACGGAAGATGCCAAAATGACAAAGTATCCATTCCGGGGAAGGCCTGACAGTTGACGCTGTGGTATCGGGTTGATAACAGGTAAGTCAGATAAATGACTTTTCTGTCGTATTTTATGCATAGTTGCGGGCACTCACATGCTGGTTATCTTCATTGTTACCAGCTCGCTATGGCTGTCTCGCATTCTTTGTCGTCCTTGGGAATCTTGAGGATGAAATATGAACCATCGCGGAAGGCAGAAAGACCGCACATGGGAAATTTAATGTAAAAATTCCCACCTGACACGGTTAATGGACCGCTAACTTCAGCATCCTTCTAAAAACGGTGACAAATTTACCATAAAACAGCGCTAAACGGTCCATATCTGCGAACACCACTGGGAAAATGGCCAGCATTCATCAATAAGAAAACCCCAAACGGCACCCAAAAGCAGAGAACCCACTCCAACGCTTCGTCTTTTCCCACGAAGTCTACTGCTGGCAGTAAATTCAGAGACAAGCTCCAAGCCTGTAAGAGCTGTCGAAGTCGCAGCTGCAGATTTTGCCAGCTCCCGCCACCCAACTGAGCTGCGGCAGCTCCGTGTCGTCCTTGAGCCGACCGCGACAGAGCTGCGACAGCTGTCGGCTGCAGCTTCCGCCAGCTACCGACACCCATTGAGCTGCGCCAGCTGTCGGTTGTCTGTCGGCCCGGGGCCTGCAGCACAATCAGAGCTCTGAGCCCGCACCACCCGCCGGGACAGCAGCTGTCGACAACGCGCGTGACCTCATACCGACCAAGGGCGGGTCTGCAGGACAGCATG